AATGTTTTGAAAATATGAAGTTTTGAAAGATTACTTGAGTTTGTTGAAGTAACGTTTGCAAAGGCATTGAACACGTTAATTCTCCAGGTTTCTGCTGATACTGGTGTTGGTCATTGTTAAAGTAGTAACTTCTGCCACCAACATGAACTGGTTCGGTTGCTGACTTGATTATTGCCTGAATTACAATTCGTTTTGCATTGCTCACCTCTCCTGCCACTAAAAAGTACTGAGTATATAGCAAGAAATTTCACCTTTCCGGCTTCGTACGCTAGAACACCACCAACAGCACCCACTGCGCCTGCAGCTAATGCGGTTTTCCATTGACTTCCACGTGAAACAGATCCTGGGCCTGTGCCCGAGTGGAAACTGTAATTGAAAGGAAATAGCAAATAAGTTCTTCGCAATACGCGAAAACTTTTGGAATATACTTTAATAAAGAAACTTACCCTTGTTGATTCATATGATAGTTCGGCTGATGATAGTTCGGCTGATGATAGCCACCTTGATTATATCCACCGGCAGGTTGACGATAACCTCCCTGATTATAGTTGGGCTGTTGAGGATATGCTTGATTTGGTGGTCTATATCCTTGATTCGGATAGCCTGCATTAGGCTGCTGAGGCTGTTGAGGGTAGGCGTTGTTCTGTGAATACTGCTGCTGGTTTTGCTGTAAATAAGTACAGTTCTGTCCAATATCAAAGTACGGTGAAGAACGGTCAATGACACCAGCAACACCTCTAAGCATCAAAGTAAAAATAGTTTCAGAAAACAACCCCTTTTATAAACCAACTTCAGACAATATTGTATAAAATTCTCATAAACTCCTCAAAGCTAATCGTTTGCGTAATGCCGCCAAGAGGAAGTTAATGTTGCCAAAGTCAGCTGACAACAGGTTTTTCAGCCAGTACTTTGCCGCACTTTCTAATGACAGTGGTAAAACTGCTCCAAATATAAATCTTACCTGTCTGTTTCCTGATCCACGGCTAGCTGAAGTACCACGGTTGCCACCAAACCCAAATCTTTTACCTTCGCCAGGTAAAATCAATAACAATACAAATATTAATCCTTTACGATACATTTTACCTAGAGTACACAAACAACAATTAATTGAATATCCCAAAAAAATATACTCTCCTTTGTAGCGCCGTTTGGCAAAAACAACTGTGTAGACAAAATAACGACTACAAAACTTCAGTAACAAGTGGTATTACCGTAGAAAAGTTAGAATAGAACTGCAAAAGTTACGGAAACTTCAAAGTTGCAGGTAAATGACAAGCGAAAAGACTAAAGCAGAACCTGGATTTTGTCGTTGAAACAACACATAAACGCAACAGTAGTTGTTCATAAAGCCAAAATCAGCAACAAGTGGGCTTAAACTACTAAACTGTTCAAAACCCAAAAATATGAGGTAGCTTGTCGGAAATTTCGTTATGCAAAAATTCAGCTCCTTTTAAATTTCTGATACTAAAAATTATTGTTCGTAACCATGGAAACCAAATAAGCTTTCGAAAAAAAAAAAAAAAAAAAAAGGACAATGTGCAGGTTTCCAAAAATAACTTTAAAAGGAAATGACAGAGTACACAAGAGTTATGTCATCAAATTCCGGAACTTTTCAATAATAATATTTTTACCAGATTTCATACACAACTACCTGCTGGTAAGCAGCACGGATAAACAATCCAAACCACTCACTAAGCGAATGACGCATCGAAACACTACAGCCTTTACTTAAAGTACCCTTAAATATGTCAAGTTGACACGACACATGGCAGAGTCCAAAGTAGCCCAAAAAATGGTTACCAACATAGCGCAGCCGCCGAACGACGACGCTATATATATGATCTGCGACCGTCAACTTTTATCTACCTATTACTATAAGCTACTAAAAAAAACAAGCCGCTGATAGCAGTAAGGGAATGAACCAAATTAAGTGACAAATCGTTGCTCTCACCTTTTGCTGCATTATCAAAATAACAGATACCGTGTTTCTCTGAAGACCTCAGAGGTCTGGAATCGGCAATTACAACATCAAAATGGAGATCAAAAACGACCAAAAATTAAAAAAAACAGTTTATTAAAGAAAATCTATAAGAACGCTGCTGATTTTACTGTAGTCTAAAGGAAGCACATCGGCAGTGCGTAATGCAGTTCAAAATCCGATAAGGGGCTCATTTCTATTTTCAGAAGGTAAAAAGAGCCGAAAATGAGGCATAATTGGGCTTAGTTGGCCGAATTCAACTGTGCACAAAAAACCAGTACGCATCGATAAAAATCGATACACACATCATCATTTAAAAAAAAAAAAGGTTTCAAACTAAAAGTTCGGAAACAAATGACACTGTAGGGGAGAGTATAGCACAACAAAAACACTGACTTTTGAATAGATTAAAATCGCATTCGTGTCTTTTCGAAACCATCTGAAAACGCCCAAAATAAAAGTGGCATATTTAGCAATTTTGGCAAATGTCAAACCTGAAAAATTGTTAAACCAAAGACTTTCAAAAACCTAAAAAAAAAAACCCTCGCAAAACAGTTGATTGTCCTTACTGCACAACTGACTGTTGATTAGTCTTTCTTTTGTCTAAAAAGTTTTCATGTTACGATAATTCCAGTAAAAGGCTTTTAGTAAGAAAAGAAAATGTCCCATACTTTGTGTACTGAAAGAAAAAATCACTTTTAATTGAAATGAACAACGTCCAAGCAAAATTTTTATCAAAAAAAATTTTTAAAATTTGCAAAAACATATAATAACTGCAAGTAATGAAACAGGAGAAACTACTTGATTTTAAAATACTCAATTAGGTTATTTTTAGTTCAACTTTTAAGTAGGTTTCATTTTTATTACAGCTTACCGCACTTCATTTCACCAATTATTCAAAATTCATACGAACACAGTTTGAAGTAATTATTACGACCACTCCAGCTCCTGAACGTTTGCACCAAATTGTAAAGGTAGGGCCTAGACAACTGCTTTTTATTGCCAAATTATTGCTCTTTCAAACTATGAGAAAGTGATTCAATATCCATAAAAGTTCAACTGCAATTATAAGCTTTTCTAATAAAAAAAATGCGAAAAAAATTCAATGTCTTAAAGAAAAATTAAAATATAACAACAACTGTGTATAGCAAAATAATCTTGTCCATTCGCTTAGACATTAGTTTAGAATGCATTGACTTATACGGTGTGACTGTACCACACAGCTAAACAAATGTAACAAGAAACACGTAAAAAAGTGCTGGACATTAAAACCAGGGCTCCTGTTTATATAATGACCCCCCATATAACCGAGCGGAGCTCATACGACCCATTTCACAGGTCAAAATGCATTCGGCTTTCAATGATTCGTCTAGAGATTGAAAAATCGAGCCGCAAAATAAAAGTCCATCCTCGCACAAATCCGTAAGATAATTAATTGGGACGAAACGTCCTTTTTTCCTTTAGCGCTCTCTTGTTGCAATATATTAAGCGTAAAATTAGATATGTTAGACTGATTTGTTCATCACTTGCACACCTGTTGATACAGCAGTTAAAAAGCCTATAACGTTTACAATGAAGAATAAAACTTATTACAGAACAAACTTCTGACACTTCTTTACCATTCTCAGAACGAGTGTCATTAATTACCGACAGAGAGAGAGTGACGGATTGTTTAAACGGCCATCTACCGTACAAGACCCTCTATGAATTATTGAATTTGTTTCCACCAAACAAGTATTTATATAAATATATATAACCAAAGAAAAAGAAACGTTGAGAAAAGTAGACTTAAGTTCAAGAACAAACCGCTTCAACATTGTTTTGCATATGTCTGTCGCAGAAAAGATATTTTAACTTTGCCTTAAAAAGTCTAGCTCAAATCATTGATTTCATAAAACGGCTAAAAATATACATTTAAATCAAAAAGCCAGCATATAATGTGTGTGTATACATAAACAAACAAATGCCATTTCAACACTGATTTTATATTATGACCTGTAAAAGTGTGAAGAAAGAACAAATGAATAAAAAATCAGAAGTTAAAGCATACACTAACATCAGTAGACTTAGATGTGTTGGAGGACAAACATTAGTGGCATCTCCACTGTTGAAACAGGCAGCCAACGACGCTGAATCGATGTTTCAAAGCAACCGTATAGCTCGATTACAACACCATCGATTTGTCGATGATGGCACAAATAACAGTTCGGCAACTACCATTACAACCGACGGTGACAATCACGCTGGCAATACATTCCGGTTTGTCCCCCCCCTCCGCCTTCAGTTTTTGTTCCATTCACAAAAAACGCTTCTTCAACCACTGAATACCCCATTTTGGCACAACAACCCTATACCAATTTTAACGTTAGTGCAATAGATACACTTTTGCTCGGCTGCCCCGTCATATTTGAATATTGATGCAGGAAATAGAACCAGTTTAGGACAATTCAAAAATAAGTTCGCAGAAGTAATGACGTAATAGACGAAGATAATAATGGCTAAATAAAGTAAGATGGAATAATAAAGAAAGTTTACTCCTTTTTTTCACCTTTATTATTGTTGTTGTTTTGTTCCTACTCTTTTGGTCCATTGTTAATAGTGGGAAGCAGTGTTTGCGCCGCAAAGTTGGATCAAAGTTCATTTATGTCGTTCGATTATTTAATAATCCGCCCAAATGGTCTACCTGATGATGCATTTTTCTATTCGCTTGTGTTCAGTAAACAAATCTTCGTTTAGACTTTACTGTTTCAATACGAATTGCAATTTCAGTATTTCAGAATGAAAAAGCATACGGAAAAAAACCAGTTGAGAAAGTCAACAGTCATCTTCCTGTTTCTTTCCACTAATGAGCAATGAATGAAGTTAATAAATCTTTTGAAAAAACTTCCATGTATTTGAACATTAAAAAAAAATACAGAGTCAGAAAAGTGCAACAGAAAAATAGAAAAAAAAAAAAATAAAATAAAATAAATTTGAATAAAATATTACCTTTGTGGTTATCTATCATTATAGTTTTCGCTACAAATCCATACGATAAAAATCAATAAACGACAAATATTGTTTTAAATATATTAGACAACCTGCTGTAAGAGTGAACAATTATGATTTACCTGCATCTTTTAAATAATTCAATTATTTATATATTAACAATTAAAAGCAACAATTTTCATAATATCATTATATAGGATTAATGTGCTAGAAAAAAAGTACTGATAAATATCATAGG